ATGGGAAGATAACTGTTTATTGGTAGGTCCAGTACTAGAGACACGTGTACAGCTTGTGTCAGGAATGGCCGCCAATACTTGGGCCACTGGCTTATACTAGAATCAAACATCCCCCCGGTAAGCATGAGCCAATGGATACATCTCGCACGTGCAGGCAAAAGCAAGCAGGCAAAGTGAAAAGCCGTTGACTTTCCCAGCCGGGTAAAACTGCAGCTGGAGCATCTACAAGGTCAAGCATAAGATAGCAAACAGTTGGTGAGCCAGGGAGAGCTGAGACAGAAAACGGGAGGGCGCCCCTCCACATTCCAGACCTATGACAGGGCTACTTGACAAACCACCATCTACACCTCTTCCCCTACATGTCTCAGGCAGGTCGTCATCTTACTCATTTTAAAAAAGTGGAAACGTAGAGCTTGAGGGGGTCCCAAGGGTCATCTAGACCACCACCACCCCGCACAGTGCAGGACATTCACAACTACCTCCCCCCCCACCTGCCCCAGTGACCCCCCTGCTCTATGCCCAGAGGAAGGCAGGAAAACCCTCCAGGATCCCCGGGCCATTCTGGTGCGGAGGAAAATCCCTTCTTGACCCCACAGTGGTGATCAGCATTTCCCCGGGCATGTAAGAAAGGGCCACAAGAACTAAGCACTGAGGCAACCCTCCCTGCCCTCCCTCCCATGACCTACCTAAATTCACAGAATCAGCATTCCTGTCAGATGGCCATCAAGCCTCTGAAAACCTCCCAAGAAGGAGAAAACTTAAAAAAAAAAAAGTACCGAACTTCATGGGAGCTGGCCAATCAGCACTATGCATACTTAAACGGGAAATCTGCAGAACTGTATTCTCTGGCCTGACCCTGCCTGGAGAGCGCTGGGTGTGTTTGAAATGAACGTGGCAAGAGAGCTTCTGGAACAGCCCCCGCTGTCCTTAAAAAGGGATGCGCCTCTTCTTTTCTGCGTTGCGTGAATGTATTACCTTGGATCATCATAGAGCCAAGCTCAGGGTTTACCTCTGTTATTATGTGGCAGAGTGGAAGTCGCTGTGTAGAACTTGGATCTTCAGAGACGTGTGAAGAAGAAGAAGAAGAGAAGAAGAGATTGGATTTATATCCCGCCCTTCACTACCCAAAGGTGTCTCCAAGCGGCTTACAATCTCCTTTCCCTTCCCCTCCCAACAACAGGCACCCTGTGAGGTAGGGGCTGAGAGAGCTCTGACAGAAACGGCTCTTTTTCAAGAACAGCTCTGACAGAACTATGGCTTGCCCAAGGTCATCCAGCCAGGTGCAAGTGGAGGAGTGGGGAATCAAACCCGGTTCTCCCAGATTAGAGTCCGCGCACTTAACCATTACCCCAAACACCTAGTTCCTATCCAGAGGAGCTTTTTTATCAGACCAAACTAGGAAGCAGGAAGAAGAAGAAGAAGGAGAAGAGATTGGATTTATACCCCGCCCTTCACTACCCAAAGGTGTCTCAGAGCGGTTTACAATCTCCTTCCCCTCCCCACCACAGTCACCCTGTGAGACAGGTGGGGCTGAGAGACCTCTGACAGAAACTGCTCTTTTTCAAGAACAGCTCTGACAGAACTATGGCTTGCCCAAGGTCATCCAGCCAGGTGCAAGTGGAGGAGTGGGGAGTCGAACCCGGTTCTCCCAGATTAGAGTCCGCGCACTTAACCACTACGCCAAACTGGCTCTCTGGTGAAGAAACTGGTGAATAAAAAGGTCCTGCCCTCTGCGGAGCTATTGTGAGGATGAACAGCAGGTGAGCCGAAAATTAGCACTATTAAGTCCTGTTGATTTCAGTAGGAAAGATGTCGTTCAGGGCTTGAATCTCCCATTGAAATCTGTGGGGCTTAGAAGTTCTTACTTATCACCATAAAGGGTCTGGCGCTTCATGACGTAGTAGGAGCCGAGGGCAAATGGGAGAGGAGAAAAGAACCTTTGCAAAAATTTTGGTGTCATCACATGGCCTTATAGTGAATTCACACGTGCCACGTCAGTCATTCCCCCCCCCACTTCCGATGCGCATGTGTGAAAATAGAAAAGCACTTTTAAATGCGCATGTGCTTTTTGAACCGATCGGTGGCTGTGGAGGACTTACAACCATATTTCAGTTTTCCCGTGCTTCATCATGCACATGTGATTTTGGCCTTCACCAGTCTGCACGCGTAGAGTGTGTGTGTGAGAGAGAGATACACGTAGAACACCGTAAGCGGATTTACACAGGTTGCCGCTTTTTGTTTCCTCTTTGTGTGATTTTGGCCTTCACAAGTCTGCACTTGTAGAGTGTGTGTGAGAGAGATACAGGTAGAACACCACTAGCGGATTGACACAGGTTGCCGCTTTTTGTTTCCTCTTTATATATCAAGTTTCTGGCTCGCATGGAGAAACGCTTGACCAGTACCAGATCTGAAGTATGTGCCCTGATAGGTTGTGTGGTACCTAAAATACCGGAAAACTTGAGAAAGGTAGTGGGGGGGCAGTGTTCCCTCTAAGCTGAGTTAGTGTGAGCTAGCTCACAGTTTTTTAGCCTCCGGCTCACACATTTTTGTCTTAGCTCAGGAAGGATGGCCCCAGAGCAAACTAATTTATGCAGCTGCCAACTCGCTCACTCACAACTTTAATGCCAGCAGCTCACAAAGTAGAATCTTGCTCACAAGACTCCACAACTTAGAATGAACATTGCGGGGCGGGGGGGGCTTAACTGTAGATTTTCGGCTTGGTGTGAAGAATCACAGAGCTTTTTACTGGGCCAGCTGATGGATTTAGAAAAACTGGCCTTCGAGTCACACAGTCTTCACAGGTATACTCAGCCGTCCCCAACTTGGTGCCAGCAAGTCCCATCACACCTGCTGAAACCTTTCCGGGGGTATCAAGGGTTTTTAGAAAATGAGCAGAGTCAGGTGCAACTTTTGCCCCGTAAGGCTTTTGATTGGCCGTTGGCCATCTGGTTGGCTGTGTAAAAATGTTTAAGTATTGCTTTAGGAACAGCTACCACCGCAGCACGAAGATCTTCACTGTGTGACTGAAGGTAAATGATGAGAGCCATTTTGAGGATGGCTCCGCCTCCAGTGGCAGCCATTTTGTTGCTAGCTCCTTCCCTGGTGACAGCCATTTTGTGACTGGCTCTTCTGCCTCCCGTGGCAGCCATTTTGTGGCTGTACCCACCAATGCTCCCTCTGCTGTGGAATCTTGTGAGCAAAAACTCCACTTTGTGAGCTCCTGGCGTTAAAGTTGTGAGTGAGCGATTTGGCCTGCTGCATAAATTAGTTTGCTCTGGAGCCCCATCCTCCCTGGGCCAAGAAAAAAACCTATGAGCCGGAGGCTAAAAAACTGTGAGCTAGCTCTCACTCAGCTTAGAGGGAACACTGGTACCCACCACGCTCTGTCAGATTGCAAAGCGGCCCAAAGGCTCAGAAAAGTTGGGGACCCCTGACTTAACCTGTTTTTAGTCAGTAGGTGTTCCAAAAGAGAGCCAGTTTGGTGTAGTGGTTAAGTGTGCGGACTCTAATCTGGGAGAACCGGGTTTGATTCCCCACTCCTCCACTTGCACCTGCTGATGTGACCTTGGGTCAGTCACAAGCTCTGGCACAGCTGTTCCTGAAAAGAGCAGTTTGTGTCAGAGCTCTCTCAGCCCCACCCACCTCACAGGGTGTCTGTTGTGGGGAGGGGAAGGGAAAGGAGTTTGTAAGCCGCTCTGAGACTCCAAGTGAAGGGCGGGGTATAAATCCAATCTCCTTCTTCTTCAAAACAATGTAAACGGTTCTTTGTCAACGGCGTAGTGGTTAAGTGCGTGGACTCTAATCTGGGAGAGCCGGGTTTGATTCCCCACTCCTCCACTTGCAGCTGCTGGATGACCTTAGGCAAGGCATAGTTCTGATAAGAGCTGACCTTGAAAAAGAGCAGTTTCTGTCAGAGCTCTCTCAGGCCCACCTACCTCACAGGGTGTCTGTTGTGGGGAGGGGAAGGGAAAGGAGTTTGTAAGCCACTCTGATACACTTTCGGGTGGTGAAAGGCGGGATATAAATCCAATCTCTTCTTCTTCTTTCACTGTAAGTCAGCTGTGACTTCACGTCACTTTACACGCACACGGAGCGATGCCGGTGTCTCCCCCCACGTTAAACTGCGACCCACTTTTTTCTGCTGGCCCAGGTCTTCCTCCACTATGGTTTCCCGCCCAGCGTTCAGCAGTGGGTGGTAGGGCAGAGGCTGCCTCGAGACCACGAGACCCTGCAGTACCACGGCATCCAGAGGGACGGTGACGTGGCTTACCTCTATCTCCGATCGGCCAAGGCGGCAAAGCTGCGCAAAGACACCTTCCAACGGGAGCTCGAGCGGCGGCAGCTGGAAGGTGAGGCTGTGGGGCCGCTAGGAATGGTCGGGCAAGGGCGGGGCTGGCTGTGAACTCCGCTTGAGACCCCAGAGAGCTGCTGCCGCCCTGAGCAGGCAATACTGGACTTGACGGCCCCAGGGTCTGATTCGGTAGAAAGCAGCTTCGTATGTTCATGTGTCCTCACCATCGCCCCTGGGAAAGGACCAGGCCGGAGGTGATGGGAAAGACCTCCGCATTTGACCCTGGAGAGCGGCTGCCAGTCTGAGTTGACAATACTCACCTTGGTGGACCAAACGGTCTGATGCAGAATCAGGCAGCTTCATGTGTTTATGTGTCCCAGGTTCAGTCCACGGCATCACCAGCTAAAAAGCTGAGTACCGGATCAGGTTCAAGGTTATGGTACTAACCTTTAAAGCGCTATGAGGTCTGGGACCGACGTATCTCCTGATATGTCCCCAGAAGAGCATTACGCTCCTCAGAACAACATCTCCTGGCGATCCCCAGGCCAAAAGACGTCTGTTTAGAAGAAAAAGAAGATAGGAGATTGGATTGATATCCCGCCCTTCACTACCCAAAGGTGTCTCAGAGCGGCTTACAAACTCCTTTCCCTTCCCCTCCCCACAACAGACGCCCTGTGAGGTAGGTGGGGCTGAGAGAGCTCTGACAGAAACGGCTCTTTTTCAAGGACAGCTGTTATCAGAACTATGGCTTGCCCAAGGTCATCCAGCAGCTGCGAGTGGAGGAGTGGGGAATCAAACCCAGTTCTCCCAGACTAGAGTCCGGGGAGGGGAAGGGAAAGGAGTTTGTAAGATGCTCTGAGACTCTGAGTGAAGGACAGGGTATAAATCCAATCTCCTCCTCTTCATCTTCTTCTTCGTCTTCTTCATCATCTCCTTCTTCTTCTTTGTCTCCTCCTCCTTCTCCTTCTTCGTCTCCTTCTCCTTCTTTTTCGTCTCCTCCTTCTTCGTCTCCTTCTCCTCCTTCTTCTTCGTCTCCTTCTTCTTCGTCGTCTTCTTCTCCTTCTTCCTCTTCTTCGTCTTCCTCTTCTTCCTCCGAACAGTCCAATATAAGGCATCTTCACGTGCCTTCCTTCCTGTTATGTTTTGCAAGTGTCTCATTTCAGTCATGAGAGAGTTAAATTGTTGTTTGTGTATGCTAATGTTACCCAGTTCACGTAGAACCAATGAAGTGTTCGGGCACGTTCCCCCCCCCCTAGCAGAGGAGGTATTATTCCTAATGAAAATGAGCTTGGGAATGTCTATTGGGTGATCAATATATTGAGGATGCTACATGCGTTTTGTCATGTACACAAGAGGTGGAGTTTTGTTTTTTGGGGGGTAAACTTACGGAGTTAGGACTAGAAAGTATCCGTTAGGATGTTTATTATTTTCTTCCATGGAACCCTTCCTAATTTTTCTTAGTAGACTTTTATAAGAGGCTGATCACACACGTGTCTGTGCCTGGCTTATTTTTCCTGCCGTGCAACGGTGGCCGATCCTGCATTGGCTTTTCCCTTGGTTGTTTTATGAAACCCACATTGGAACAGAACTTCCCCTCTGCATTGCGAGCTGCTTTCACCGCCTTTGATAATTGGATTTTATGGTAGCCTCCACACTCCAGGCACCTTTCACTTTCTTTGATCATCTGATTTTATGGTAGCCTCCACACTCCATGCCATTTTCGCTTTCTTTGCTCATCGGGTTTTACGGTACCCTCTGCATTGCGAGCTGCTTTCACTTCCTTTGATCGTCTGGTTTTATGGTACCCTCTGCATTGTGAGCGGCTTTCACCTCCTTTGATCATCGGATTTTATGGTAGCCTCCACACTCCATGCCATTTTCGCTTTCTTTGCTCATCGGGTTTTATGGTACCCTCTGCATTGCGAGCTGCTTTTACTTCCTTTGATCATCTGGTTTTATGGTACCCTCTGCATTGTGGGCAGCTTTCACCTCCTTTGATCATCAGATTTTATGGTACCCTCTGCATTGTGCATCCGGCCCCATCACTCCTTGGCAAATAGAAGGGGAAATCGTGGAAGTAGTGACAGACTTCCTGGGATCTCAGATCACCGCAGGCTGTGACAGCAGCCATGAAATTAAAAGACGCCTGCTCCTTGGGAGGAAAGCGATGGTGAACCTCAACAGCATGATAAAAAGTAGAGACATCACCCTGCCAACAAAAGTCCGCATGGTCAAAGCAATGGTATTCCCAGTAGTCATGTATGGCTGCGAGAGTTGGACTATAAGGAAGGCCGAGCGCCGAAGAATAGATTCTTTTGAACTATGGTGCTGGAGAAGACTCTTGAGAGTCCCTTGGACTGCAAGGAGATCAAATCAGTCAATCCTAAAAGAAATCAACCCTGACTGTTCCCTGGAAGGCCAGATAATGAAACTGAAGCTCAAATACTTTGGCCACCCAATGAGAAGGGAGCTCTCACTGGAGAAGACCCTGATGCTGGGAAAGATTGAAGGTCAAAGAAGACGGGGACGGCAAAGGACGAGATGGTTAGACAGTGTCATAGATGCAACAAACATGAAATTGAGCAAGCTTCAGAGGATGGCGGGAGACAGGAAGCTTTGGCGTGATCTGGCCCAAGGGGTCGCGAAGAGTCGGACTCGACTGTGCGACTGAACAACAACAACAACTGCATTGTGAGCTGCTTTCACCTCCTTCGATCATCAGATTTTATGGTACCCTCCACACTCCATGCCATTTTCGCTTTCTTTGGTCATCGGGTTTTATGGTACCCTCTGCATTGTGAGCTGCTTTCACCTCCTTTGATCATCGGGTTTTATGGTAGCCTCCACACTCCATGCCGCTTTCGCTTTCTTTGATCATCAGGTTTTATGGTACCTTCTGCATTGATTTATGGCCGTTTAACGGCCCGTTCAGGGGTGACTTTGCAGTCAGTACGACATTGCCCCGGGGTATCTGAATGTGGTTTTGAGCGGCACTTTCCCCTCCCAGTTGAGAAAATGTGGTGCAAATGCTAGATGCAGAATCGCCCATTGCTCTGCTAAGCGTATCCAACATTTTCTCTCTTTGGCCACCTCCTTAGAGCTCGGCATTGAGGAGGCTGCCCTGCTGCCACGGGGGTCCACGGAAACAGCCGCCGCCCCGACTCCCAGAGGCCCTTCAGAGGCCTCGGAATCTCAGAAGCAAATGGAAGACCCGGCTGCATCACTCCCTGCCATGAACCCGAAGGTAAGGCCTGCGAGGAGGCGGGACTCGGTTGCCAGTTCTCATCTCGGATGCTCCCATGGCCCTTCCCTCTCTCTGTAGGTCAATTTGAGATCCAGTTTGGTGTCGTGGTTAAGTGCGCGGACTCTAATCTGGGAGAACCGGGTTTGATTCATCACTCCTCCACTTGCACCTGGGCAAGCCATAGTTCTGATAAGAGCTCTCCATGAAAAAGAGCAGTTTCTGTCAGAGCTCTCTCAGCCCCACCTACCTCACAGGGTGTGTCTGTTGTGAGGAGGGGAAGGAGAAGGAGTTTGTAAGCCGCTCTGAGACTGCTTTGGTAGTGAAGGGTGAGGTATAAGACAGCCAATTTGGTGTAGTGGGTAAGTACGTGGAATCTAATCTGGGAGAACCGGGTTTGATTCCCCACTCCTCCACTTGCACCTGCTGGATGGCCTTGGGCAAGCCATAGTTCTGTCAGAGCTGTTCTTGAAAAAGAGCAGTTTCTGTCAAGAGCTCTCTCAGCTCCACCTGCCTCACAGGGTGTCTGTTGTGGGGAGGGGAAGGGAAAGGAGTTTGTAAGCCGCTCTGAGACTCCTTTGGGTAGTGAAGGGTGGGGTATAAATCCAATCTCTTCTCTCTTCTTCTTCTTCTAGGTCGGCTGGGAGTGCCCGATCTGCACTTTCGTCAACAAGCCCACCTGGCCGGGCTGCGAGATGTGCTGCGCTGAGCGGCCCAAGGATTATGCCACGCCGGATGGCTATCAGCCGGACAAAGAGGAGCTGGTGCGGCTGCAGAAGGAGGAAGAAGCCATGCGGAAGTACGAGCAGGTGAGAGGCTGGGGCCCAGGTGGGGGGCAAGTGGGTCATAGGGACCGTGTCACTCCAGTCTTGCCCGTCTACGCTGGCTCCCAGTTTGTTTCTGGACTCAATTCACGGTGTTGGGCTTGACCTTTAAAGCACTGTATGGTTTGCATCTTGATTAGATTACTGCAATGTGCTCTACATGGGGCTACCCTTGAAGACTGTCTGGAAGCTATAGTCGGTACAGAATGTTGCAGCCAGGATGCTGAATGGTCTGGGTTGCAGGGCCCATGTCACTCCAGTCTTGCCCAGTCTACACTGGCTCCCAATTTGTTTCTCAGCACAATTCAAGGTGCTGGTCTTGACCTTTAAATCACTATATGGTTTGCATCTAGATTAGATTACTGCAATGTGCTCTACATGGGGCTACCCTTGAAGACTGTCTGGAAGCTATAGTCGGTACAGAATGTTGCAGCCAAGATGCTGACTGGTGTGAGTTGCAGGGCCCATGTCACTCCAGTCTTGGTCAGTCTACACTGGCTCCCAGTTTGTTTCTGGGCACAGTTCCCAGGGTTGGTCTTGAACTTTAAACCACTTTATGGTTTGCATCTATGATCCATGCCTTGGTTACATCTAGGTTAGATTACCGCAGTGTGCTCTCTCTGGGGCTGCTCGTGAGATGTGTTTGGAGACTTCAGTGGGTACAGACTGCTGCGGCCAGGATATTCCGGCTTGGATTTTGACGTACAGCTTTTGGAACGCCAAATCTCAAAACCCATCTTGGATGGAGAGATGGCTTAGTTGGTGACAGTGGAAGCGGGTGGGGGGAGTGGCAAGCGGCAGCCCACCCATCCTTCCTGTTGGTGTGAAAGGGACCCCCATAAGGGAATCCCTAAGAACAACACAAGAACAAAAGAGAAGTCTTCTTGGATCAGGCCACTGGCCCATCCAGTCCAACACTGTGTCATACATTGGCCAAAACCCAGGGGCCATTAGGAGGTCCACCAGCAGGGCCGGAACTCCCCCCAAGCACCAAGAAGACAGAGCATCACTGCCCCAGACAGATGCTCCCTCTACCCCTTGTGGCCAGTAGCCACTCATGGACCTCTGCTCCATATAACAACATAAGAACTTCAGAGAAGCCATATTGGAACAGGCCAGTGGCCCATCCAACACTCTGTGTCGCACAGTGGCCAAATCCCAGGTACCATCTGAAGGTCCACCAGCAGGGCCAGAACTCCAGAAGCCCCTCCCACTGTTGCCCCCCCCCCAAGCACCAAGAACACAGAGCATCCCTTGCCCCACACAGAGTGTTTCCTCTATCCCTTGCAGGCTAGTAGTCACTGATGGACCTCTGCTCCATATAAGAACATAACAGAAGCCATGTTGGATCAAGCCAATGGTCCGCCACCACTTCCTGCGGGTCACACAGAATTGGCGGGGACAGAACTTCAGAAGCCCTCCCACTGTGCCCCCCCCCCCCAACCACCAAAAAAAAAAAGAATCCCCGCCCCAGACAAGTTTTCTCCAGTTCCCTCTTGAAGCTGTCCATGCGTGTAGCCGCCACCACTTCCTGCGGCAGTGAACTCCACGTGTTAATTACTCTTTGGCTGAAGAAGTCCTTCCTTTGATCTGTTCTAAGCCTACTGCTCATTAATTTCAAGGATTGCCCACAAATTCTTGTATTGGGAGAAAGGGAGAAAAGGTCTTAAGAACATAAGAGAAGCCCTGTTGGATCAGGCCAGTGGCCCCTCCAGTCCAACACTCTGTGTCACACAGTGGCCAAAACCCAGGTGCCATCAGGAGGTTCACCAGTGGGGCCAGAACTCCAGAAGCCCTCCCACTGTTGCCCCCCAAGCACCAAGAACACAGAGCATCACTTGCTCCAGACATAAGAACATAAGAGGAGCCATGTCGGGTCAGGCCAATGGCCCCTCCAGTCCAGGACTCTGTGTCACACAGTGGCCCAAACCCAGATGCCATCAGGAGGTTCACCAGTGGGGCCAGAACTCCAGAAGCCCTCCCACTGTTGTTCCCCCCCATCACCAAGAACACAGAGCATCACTGACACTGCCCCAGACATAAGAACATAAGACAAGCCATGTTGGGTCAGGCCAATGGCCCACCCAGTCCAGCACTCTGGGTCACTCAAGGGCCGAAACCCAGGTGCCAATAGGAGGTCCCTTGTCTCCTGACCGCTGGTTCTCTCTCTCTCCTTGAGGCAGGCCAAAGAGCAACGGAAGCGCGACAACTACCAACAGCTCCTGCGGCTGGACGGGCAGAGCCTGGTGCTATCTGTGGCAGAGGTGGACTGCCCCATCTGCTTTGGGACCTTGGAGCCTGGGAAGGGCGTGACCCTGCGTGAGTGCCTGCACACCTTCTGCCAGTAAGTCTCCTGGAAGGCCTTCTGCCCCAACTGCAGCTTCCTGATCCCCGGAATGGTAGTTCTCACCCACTGGACTGTGACCAGGGGAGGGGCCGTGGCTCAGTGGCAGAGCCTCTGCTTGGCATGCAAAAGGTCCCAGGTTCAATCCCTGGCATCTCCAGTTGAAAGGACCAGGCTCCTGGTCCCCGGAAAGACTTTAGCCTGAGACCCTGGAGAGCTGTCAAGAGGGGCCGTGGCTCAGTGGCAGAGCCTCTGCTTGGCATGCAAAAGGTCCCAGGTTCAATCCCCCGCACCTCCAGTTAAAAAGACCATGTAGTTTTCCTATTATGGAATACTGAGTAAAACAAGATAGAACTTCTAATGGGATTGATGCTCTGTGTCTGTGGTAATTATAAAGTGTTTCAGATACTCTTATCTTAATGAAGTTGATGAATGGATACATAATGTTTTAGATTTATATTATGAGAGCCGGTTTATTGTTGTGGTTAAGTGCACGGACTCTAATTTGGGAGAACTGGGTTTGATTCCTCACTCCTCCACTTGCACCTGTTAGATGACCTTGGGCAAGCCATGGTTATGTCAGAGCTGTCCTTGAAAAAGAGCAGTTTCTGTCAGAGCTCTCTCAGCCCCACCTACCTCACAGGGTGTCTGTTGTGGGGAGGGGAAGGGAAAGGAGTTTGTAAGCCGCTCTGAGACTCCTTTGGGTAGTGAAGGGCGGGGTATAAATCCAGTCCCTTCTCTTCTCCTTCTTCTACATTCATCTCATTAATTTAGCTATACTTCTGATGCCATAATCTTTAATTTTGTTTTCTTCATCTGTATTTTGGTTTTGAAAATATACAATCATAGAATCATAGAGTTGGAGGTGACCTCTGGGGTCACCTAGTCCAACCTCCTGCACAATGCAAGACATTCACAAAGACCTCCCCCCCATCCCCTAGCGACCCCTGTTCCACACCCAGAAGATGACAAAAAAAAAAACCCCACCAAGATCCCTGGCCAAACCGGCCTGGAGAAAAATGGCTTCCTGACCCCAAAGTGGCGATCGGCATTTCCCTGGGTGTGTAAGAACGGGCCATGAGAACTAAGCACTGATGCAACCCTTCCTGCCCTCCCTCTCGTGATCTGCCTAAGTTCACAGAATCCACATTGCTGTCAGATGGCCATCAAGCCTCTGTTTGAAGGCCTCCCAAGAAGAAGAGCCCACCGGAAACAAGAAAAAACGCCAGGGATCTGGGTTGAAATGGACAAAATGACAAGAAAGCTCAAGAATCAGGAAGCGGAAGAATTTTTTGCAGACTGGAAAGATCTTAAAGAATATCTGGAGAAATATTGCGATGTGAAGAATAATCTATTTTGCTTTGATAACTATTAGAGATAGAAGGATATTTAGCGAGTTCAAATGTGTAAGAATAATAGTTTAAAGAAATGTTACCTTGTAAGTTTAATTATTGATGTGGGGAGAAGAGAGAAGAAAATAGAAGATTTGGAAGGGAGGTGGGAGCACTGCGGGAAATAGGGGGAGAAAAGGATATAAGATGGATGCTAAAATGTTATATTGGTTGACTTGATGATATATCCAAATAAAATTGTTTAAAAGAAGAAGAAGAAGAAGAAGAAGAAGGAGAAGGAGAGCCCGCCACCTCCCGAGGAAGCCTGTTCCACTGAGGAACCACTCTGTCAGGAAGTTCTTCCTAATGTTTAGCCGAAAACGCTTCTGATTTAATCTCAACCCGTTGGTTTTGGTCCGACCTTCTGGGGCAACAGAAAAGATGTTAAAATGTAAATTTTTAAAAAAAGAAGAAGAAAGGACTGGGTAGTGATGGAGCTCTGCTTATAATGAATCTAGACCTTGATGGACTGATTCGTTTTAAGGCAGTTTTATGTGAGTGCTTTGGGAGAGGCCAGTGGCTCAGTGGTAGAGCCTCTGCTTGGCATGCAGAAGGTCCCAGGTTCAACCCCCGACACCTCCAGCTAAAAGGACCAGGCAGTAGGTGATGGGGAAGACCTCCGCCTGAGACCCTGGAGAGCCATGGAGAGGGGCCGTGGCTCAGTGGTAGAGCCTCTGCTTGGCATGCAGAAGGTCCCAGGTTCAACCCCCGACACCTCCAGCTAAAAGGACCAGGCAGTAGGTGATGGGGAAGACCTCCGCCTGAGACCCTGGAGAGCCATGGAGAGGGGCCGTGGCTCAGTGGTAGAGCCTCTGCTTGGCATGCAGAAGGTCCCAGGTTCAACCCCCGACACCTCCAGCTAAAAGGACCAGGCAGTAGGTGATGGGGAAGACCTCCGCCTGAGACCCTGGAGAGCCATGGAGAGGGGCCGTGGCTCAGTGGTAGAGCCTCTGCTTGGCATGCAGAAGGTCCCAGGTTCAACCCCCGACACCTCCAGCTAAAAGGACCAGGCAGTAGGTGATGGGGAAGACCTCCGCCTGAGACCCTGGAGAGCCATGGAGAGGGGCCGTGGCTCAGTGGTAGAGCCTCTGCTTGGCATGCAGAAGGTCCCAGGTTCAACCCCCGCAGCTAAAAGAACCAGGCAGTAGGTGACGGGAAAGACCTCAGCCTGAGACCCTGGGGAGCCATGGAGAGGGTCTGTGGCTCAGTGGTAGAGCCTCTGCCTGGCATGCAGAAGGTCCCAGTTCACCTCCAGTGAAAAGGACCAGGCACCAGCTGATGTGAAAGACCCTGGAGAGGGGCTGCCAGTGCGAGTAGACAATATTGACCATGATGGACGAAGGGTCTGGTTCGGTAGAAAGCCGTTCCATGCGCTGAAGCCATGCAGGGGCTGTGGACCGCGGTCTAGTTTGGCAAGGGAGCAAATGTCTTCTCTTGATCCCGCCCTCCTTTCTCTTCCCAGGGACTGCTTGAAAGGGACCATCCTCAACAGCCAGGAACCGGAAGTCCGCTGCCCCTACATAGACCCAAAGTACTCCTGCCCGGGACAGCTGCTGGAACGGGAGATCAAAGCGGTGGGCATCCGGGAGGGGACTTCCTGCGGAGCGGGGAGAGCCCGCCAGCCCCCCAGGGGTTCACTCCGTCCCACAGAATGGCCTGCAGCCCCAAGGCCTCTCCCCTCCCCCTCCCTTCCTGCATTCACTTCCTGCCAGGGGTCACTTCGTAGAGGGACTTCCTGCGGAGCGGGGAGAGCCCGCCAGCCCCCCAGGGGTTCACTCCGTCCCACAGAATGGCCTGCAGCCCCAAGGCCTCTCCCCTCCCCCTCCCTTCCTGCATTCACTTCCTGCCAGGGGTCACTTCGTAGGAAAAGAGGTGCAGGAGCTCATTAGCACAACTCATTAGCATAACTCATTTGCATATGCCACGCCCCCTGACCTCACCGGAAGTGTGTCAGAAGGCAACACCCACCGCTCAGGCTCCACTGGACATTGCTAGCTATTGGGAGGGGGGTGGAACGTGCAGATCTGTCCTCGCAGAGGAGGGAGAGCTTGTACCTGAATAAAACTTGGTCTTAAAGGTGCCACTGGACTGTTTTGGATTGCTAGCTATTGGGGGGGAGGGGAACGTGCAGATCTGTCCTCGCAGAGGAGGGAGAGCTTGTACCTGAATAAAACTTGGTCTTAAAGGTGCCACTGGACTGTTTTGGACCGGGGAGCCAGGGAGAGCTCTGCAACTTACCTGGCTGCTTCTTGCTCTGACCGAGGGCTGCTGGGAGCAGGGGGTGCGGCTTGTTGCATGTGCCCGCCCCCTGGGCACCTTACTGCCGGAGCTCCGCTCCTGTGCGCTCCTGCAGGAAATGATCCCTGCTTCCTACAGCGTCTCCTGTGAGAAAGGGGAAATAGGCTCTTTAGCCCTGTGTCGGGTGGGGCCGTGGCTCAGTGGCAGAGCCTCTGCTTGGAACGCAGGAGGTCCCAGGTTCAATCTCCTGCATCTCCAGTTAAGAGGACCAGGTAGGAGGTGATGTGAAAGACCCGTGACCTATGACCCTGGAGAGCTGCTGCCAGTCTGAGAAGGCAATACTAGCCTTGATGGAACACAGGTCTAATTCAGTAAAAGGCAGCTTGATATGA